GAAAAGTGAGCATTTCTAGGAGGGACAACTAACTCTTATTTGACAAGTCAGAGAAGGTTCCTGAAGGAAGAATTCTCTAAAGCTGAGACCTGAAGGATGAGAGAGTCCAAAGAAGAGGAGGAAATTGGATGGGGGAAAGGCTCAGAGGTGCGAGAGGGCAAGCCTTGAGTATTTAAGGAAAACAGTCAATGTGTGGGTGGAGGGTTGGGGGATCATGATGTGAAATAAGGGGTAGTTGTCCTCTGGGTCTTGTTAAGGAGGTTGAGCTTTAGCCTGAGGGTAGGGGAGTGGTGTGATCAAAATTTCCTTTTATAAAGCTAACTCTGGCTGTTAGGGAGGTGGATAGACAGTTGTGAAGCTGCTGTCATTCCGCTGGCACATAATAGTGGGCTGTACTCACAAAGCTTCAGTGAGGATGGAGAGAGTTGAGAGATAGTCAGTAGGTCTTTTTTTTTTTCTTGCTTTGCATTTCTTGCTTCATTGAGAGAGCTCTGAGGCAGGACCCAGAGCAAGGCATCCAGAAGCACTGGGACAGAACCCAGAGGGTCCAGTCCTGCTGGCTGCTGCTAGGGGCTGAGACTACCAGGCCTGCCCGTGTCCTCACGTGTCTCGCTGCTGTCTCTAGATGTCCTTATCATCCAGCCTCAAAAATATATATGTTTGCAACCTTCAGTCTCTCTTCCATTTCTTGATTCCCCTTCCAGACCCCAGCAAGGGCCCTGGCCTCAGCTGCTTCCTCCAGGGCCCCCTCCTCCTCAAGGCAGCTGCTGCTGTCTCCACTGTTCGCAGCGTTAGGCCCTTGTTCCTCAGACTCGTCGCTGTCATCACGGTCAGTGGGCAGCTGGGTGTTGGCTATGGGCTTGTTGGGGCTTGCAGACTCTCACCCTGAATCCACATCAAAGGGGTCAACTTCCTCCTCCTTGGGGCTCTCCTTGGTGCTCACCAGAACTCCTGCTCTGCCTGCAGCACCTGCTCTGGGCCACTGCAGGCGGCATACTTGTCCAGGAGCTGGTGGCTCAGGTTCAGGAAGCTCTTGCCCCACTTAAACTTCCACAGCAAAATAACAGCAAGTTCTGAAAAGCCTACAATGCAGAAGGTAGCAGCGAAAGCTTCCATGCAGGAGAAAATCTTCAGGGCCAGCTATAGTTCACTGTGTTGGCAGCCACCAGGTAGGGCACCAGCTGCAAGTGGCTACCTTGCATCTTTCCAATCAGCATCTTATCCAGTCTGGCCCAGGAGCAATAGATGACAGTGACCCCACACTGTGCCACCAGCTGCCTGTGGGTGACATGTACTGTGAGAAATGCCTTCACCTGCCCGATGCCAAGGAATGGACACAGAAACACACGAGGTATGACGAAGCAAGACTTTAACGGCAGTCTTGCAAGATCAGTTGTCTATTGGGCAGGCATGTTGGAAACAGTTACATCAAGCAATTTATTCCCTAGTGTGCAAGTCCCTCCCCCAGTTCCTCATTGGCTGAGTACTATGGGATGTACAATCTTCCTGGACATCCATCGCAATTTATTCCCTCTTCACCTGCCCGATGCCAAGGAATGGACACAGAAACACACGAGGTATGACGAAGCAAGACTTTAACGGCAGTCTTGCAAGATCAGTTGTCTATTGGGCAGGCATGTTGGAAACAGTTACATCAAGCAATTTATTCCCTAGTGTGCAAGTCCCTCCCCCAGTTCCTCATTGGCTGAGTACTATGGGATGTACAATCTTCCTGGACATCCATCACGTAAGTTTTATTTCTACCTTATAAGGCATTTATTGTCCCCTTCCCTCTGGTGGAAAGGGGTGGGCTCAGGACAAGACCGTGAAAAAGGCCCCCAGAAGTCTGAGAAGGAAGAAGAACCAGGAAGTAAAAAGAAGAAGGTGACCAGCCACCATCATGAGAAGTCACCCTTGGGAAAGTGCACTGTCAGGGGTTATCACACCACAGGTTAGTCAAGCAACCCTTGTCAAGCTATTCTTGAAAATGAATCACTTAAGCTATTTTCCCACAGTACTGTGCACCCACAGGGCTGAGCACAAGATCACTGAAGTTGTGGCCCAGGTGCAGGCAGCACATCAGGCCCAGGAGGGCTAACCTGAGGTCTGTGCAGCACCAGAAGCCACAGTGGCCCAGCTCTGCATGGCCAGCATGCAGGGAAGCATGGCTGGGCCCAGACTGACCAGGCTCCATGGATGTGCATAGAGAGGTGCCAATGTCCCCAGCAAAAGCCTCTAGGCAGTGGCCCGGGGGCAGCTGAACCTGGTCGCCTTCTGTCCCTGGCCCACTGACAGTCCTTCTGCAGACCAAAGTGGGGCATCAGGGGCCCTGAGACCACCGGGCTCGCCCCTCCACTGCCAGCTGGATTGCATGGGCTTCCATGCATGCACCCAGCACAGTTAGTAGGTCTTCAAAAGGAAGAATCTTGGTTACAGCATGGTGTTTTAACACCAAAGTATAGGTTCAGATCCCACATAGGCCAGCTGCCAAAAGCAAAACAAAACAAAACATCCACCAATATATAAAAGGAAGAATCAACAGGAGAGGATTTGGTTATTGATGGATATGGGTCATACTAACAAAGGAAGAGAAAAGGTTTCTGGCTTTGGCAACTAAATGGGCCAACTCACTGAGGCAGAACACACTGGGGTAGGAGCAGATTGACTGAGAGGTAGGGGAAATGCTGGGTTTTATGTGGGGACAGGTTGAGTTTAAGGTGACTGGAAGATACGCTGACTTGAATCTCACTAGGAGCATGGGCTGAGAGGGTTGGGAATCATCTACATGGAAGAGGTAACAAGAGAAGAGAAGAAGATTCAAGAAAGTATCTTGAGAGAGGCCCACATTAAAGAGAAAGAAGAGTGAAAGGAGATTTAGATGGAGTTTTGGAGAAAAAAGAGAAAACCTGGGAGAAGATAATGTCAGGGAAACCCAGAGACAAGAGCTTTCAGAAGGAGGGAGTGATCAACAATGTTCAATACTACTGAGGAACAGGTGGAAGTCTTAAATTCAAGTTGAGGACATTCTGCAAAATAACTAGCCTATACTCTTCAAAAATGTCAATGCCAAGACATTTAAAAAAAAAAAAAAAAAGACTTAGGGCCGGCCCGTGGCTCACTCGGTAGAGTGCGGGGCTAATAACACCAAGGCCCCGGGTTCGGATCCCACATATGGATGGCCGGTTCGCTCACTGGCTGAGCGTGGTGCTGACAACACCAAGTCAAGGGTTAAGATCCCCTTACCGGTCATCTTTAAAAAAAAAAAAAAGACTTAGGGCCGGCCCGTGGCTCACTCGGTAGAGTGCGGGGCTAATAACACCAAGGCCCCGGGTTCGGATCCCACATATGGATGGCCGGTTCGCTCACTGGCTGAGCGTGGTGCTGACAACACCAAGTCAAGGGTTAAGATCCCCTTACCGGTCATCTTTAAAAAAAAAAAAAAGACTTAGGGCCGGCCCGTGGCTCACTCGGTAGAGTGCGGGGCTAATAACACCAAGGCCCCGGGTTCGGATCCCACATATGGATGGCCGGTTCGCTCACTGGCTGAGCGTGGTGCTGACAACACCAAGTCAAGGGTTAAGATCCCCTTACCGGTCATCTTTAAAAAAAAAAAAAAAAGACTTAGAAACTGAGATTAAAGGAAACTAAAGAGACATGAAAACTGGAAATGCAATGAATGATCTGGGTTTTTTTGGCTAAATCTTTTATCGTTTTTAATGATTGCATACTGATCCAATTAATTTCATTCTATTATATTTGAGTTTGTCATTTTCTGAAATAAACAAGGAAGTAACACAATGTCATCCTATGCTTTCCCTAATGACAACCTACCGTGTTACTTTTAGAAGGCTGTTCTTATGAAATATAGTAAATGAAAAATGTGAAAATCAGAATTACATACTTTGATAACCATGCACAAAGCTGGAAGAGAAAGTGAAATTTACAGTTGCTGTGTCAGGTTGCCAGAATGTGAAGGAAAGTTAGTTTTGCTTCTAATTGAATTCTTAAATTTGCCTTCAAAAGGTCACAACGTGTTCCATGTTGTCTTAAATTCACAGTATCTATCATGTAGTTGGCCAAACTCCAGGTTGTGTTATTTAAAATGTTCATCTTAGGTGCAGACTCTTAATTTGTGGAGTCTTATCCCTATGAAGGCATCTATAGGAGGCTGTGAGTGTACACAACTCTTTCAAGAAGATGGTGAACTAAGAAAATAGTCCTCAGTCTTATGAAACAAAGTTTATGAGAGGCCATTGCATGGGACTAGCTTCCTGCACTAGGCGGGAGCAGACCAGACCAAATCATAATGGAGTCACCTGAGCTAAGTGCTACATAATCAGACTTTGAAACAGGCCAGTTTGAAAACAGCAGGAGATTCCAGTCAACCTGAGTCAGTGTAATAAGAAAGTCTCCTGTTTTAATCTTGTAGGGAAAGTAACTTTGAAAAGACCAACCTGCTTTTTGTTTTCTGTTTCTGCTTTCCTCAGTCCTTTTCTGCTTATAAAGCTAACCTCCTCTGCTCAGCCCCATTATAGGGGGTTGATAATAAAATAAATAAAATTATTTAATAAATAAAAAGCCAAGTAGAAGCAAATAAAAGCCAATTAGATCTTTAAGCTAAACTTATTGTAATTTTGTCTTTTAACAGTATCATTTTTGTGGTCCTGCAATTCCGAGAGTTGTGTAGGGCCACCTGCATGCATTAATATATTAGAATATTTTCATCCTCTTTGTTAATTTCTCTCTACTTTTTATGTTTTTATAGGTAGACATTTACATTAAAAATTTTTTTTAGTATTCTTCCTGTTCCCTTAGTGACACCGAGCGCATCCATCGGTAAGCCTCCTCTAGAAATTGCCCAATTGAACTACATGCCGCGAATCCTTGGCGGAGCGACTGCCCTTAGTTAAGATGACTACGGCTGCCTTCCATTGCCCTTGCCTGCCCGCAGCAAGGATGGTTCCGGTGACTTCCTGTCAAACCTCGCTTTTCCCATAACAAAGATGGCGCCTCCGCTTCCGGGTTTTGGGCTCTTGCTGTCGCTGGGCGGGCGGTGAGTGTAACTGGGGTCTGGCGGCTTTTCTTGGCCGGTATTCTTCGTCGACTCAAAAGTGTCCTGGGAAGTGGGCAGGGAGGGGCTCACAGCAGTGCATCCCATCGTTCTCTCACGATTGGGAAGTTATGGCGGCTGTCCCTTGCACATTACCCTTTTCCATCTGCCTCTGCCTCCCTCCATCCCAGCGGGCGGCCTCTGCAGCCTTCGCTCTGGGGAATCTCCGGAATTTGCAGGCAGCGGGTCTGGTTGAGCTTCGGTTCTTCTTTTTTTAGAAACAGCTTTCTTGAGAAATTACTATTCAGATACCATAAAAAGTTCCCCATTTACAGTGTAAAATTTAGAGGGTTTTTGGGGGGGATATTTTCACAGAATTGTGCATCCATCACTGCGATCTAATTTTAAAATATTTTCATCACCAGCCCAAAGATAAACCCTGTATCCTGTACCTGTCACTCATGATTCACCCCCCCACCCCACCCCCAGTCCTAGGCAATTAGTAGTCTACTTTCTGTCTCTATGGATTTGCCCATTTGGACATTTGATATCAGTGGAATCATACAATATGTGACTGGCTTCCTTCACTGGAAATGTTTTCGTAGCTTGCGCTTGAAGCATGTGTCAGAACTTCCTTCCTTTATTGTTGAATAATACTCCATTGTATGCATAGACCATATTTTATTTATCTTTTAGTAGTTGAAGGATATTTGGTTTACTTTCACTTTTTGGCTATTTTGAATAATGCAGCTATGAACATTTGTATAAAGTTATTGTGTGGACGTATGTTTTTATTTCTCTTGAGCATACACATAGGAGTGGAATTGCAGGGTCAACGTTTAACCTTTTGAAGAACTGCCAAACTGTTTTCCAGAATGCCTGCATCATTTTGCATTTTCATATCTGGCTACCCAGTTGTCTCAGTGTAGAAAAGACTATCCTTTCCAGGTTGAGTTTTCTTCACACTGTGTGAAAAATCAATTGACCATAAATGTAAGATTTTACTTTTGGACTTGTAATTCTATTTAGTTAAGCAATGTGTCTGTCCTTATGCCACTACTACACAGTCTTGATTACTATAGTTTTGTAATAGGTTTTGTAATCAGAAAATATGAGGTTTTCAGGATTGTTCTTTTTCAAAGTTGTTTTTGCTATATTGGGTCCTTTGCATTTCTATATGAATTTTTGGAACAGTTTTGTTAATGTCTGCAAAAACCCAACTGGGATATTGATAAATATTGCATTGATTTTTTGGTCAACCTGGGGAATATTGCCATCTTAAAGTATTAAGTCTTCTGACTCATGAACGTGGGATGTCTTTCCATGCCTTTCGATCTTTAATTTCTTCCAACATTTTAAAAATAGTTTTCAGGACTGACTAATTTGCTCAGTTGGTTAGAATGTAGTGTTATAACACCAAGGTCAAGGGTTCGGATCCCCATATTGGCCAGCTGCCAAAAAAAAAAAAAGTGTTTTTCAGTGTATGTGTCTTACACTTTTTTTACTTGATGTATTTCTAAGTAGTTTTGTGTGTTCTTAAAAATGGATCTGTGTTATTAATTTTCAGTTGTTTTATTGTTACTGTACATAAATAAAAATGATTTTTTGATATTGATCTTGTATCCTGCAACCTTGTTTAACTTGTTTATAAGTTCTACTGGGTTTTTTTAGTGGATTTCTTAGGATTTTCTGTACATATCATGGCTTTTGCTAATAGAGATAGTTTTATTGCTTTCTTTCCAATCTGACTGCCTTTTACTTCTTTTTTTTTGCCTAATTGTTCTGGCCAAATCTTCCAGTAAAATGTTGCGTAGAAGTAATGAGAACAGATATCCTCCTGTTCTTGATCTTAGGGGGAAAGCATTCAGTGTTTTACCATGAAGTGCAGTGTTAGCTATGGGTTTTTTAAAAAATGCCCTTTATCAAGTTGAGGAAGTTCCCTTCTATTCCTAGTTTGTTGAGTGTTTTGATCATAAAAAAAGTGTATTGACTTTATCAAAAGCTCATGTGTTGGGCCGGCCCGTGGCTCACTCGGGAGAGTGTGGTGCTGATAACACCAAGGCCCCGGGTTCGGATCCCACATAGGGATGGCCGGTTCACTCACTGGCTGAGCGTGGTGCTGACAACACCAAGTCAAGGGTTAAGATCCCCTTACCGGTCATCTTTTAAAAAAAAAAAAAAAAAAAAAAAAAAAGCTCGTGTGTGTATGGGTGTGCATGTGTCTTTTGTAGGTTTTGTTCTTTGTGTTGGGCCGGCCCGTGGCTCACTCGGGAGAGTGTGGTGCTGATAACACCAAGGCCCCGGGTTCGGATCCCACATAGGGATGGCCGGTTCACTCACTGGCTGAGCGTGGTGCTGACAACACCAAGTCAAGGGTTAAGATCCCCTTACCGGTCATCTTTTAAAAAAAGAAAAAAAAAAAAAAAAAGCTCGTGTGTGTATGTGTGTGCATGTGTCTTTTGTAGGTTTTGTTCTTTATTCTGCTAATATAGTGTATTACATTGATTGATTTTCAGATATTCTTTCTTTTTTGGCAGCTGACCAGTACAGGGATACAAACCCTTGACCTTGGTATGATTTTCAGTTGTTAAAACAACTTTGAATTCCTGGGATTAGTTCCACTTAGTCTTGGAGTATAATCCTTTTTAGAATTTGGTGTGCTGGTATTCTGTCAAGGATTTTTGTGTCCATATTCTTAATATTGGTTTTGTAGTTTTCTTGTGATTATCTGGTTTTGGGTTTTTGTTTGTTTGTTGGCACTGACTGGTACAGGAGATTATCTGGTTTTGATGTCTGGATAATACTTGGTGCATAGAGTGAATTAAGAAGTGTTCCCTTGGGCTGGCCCAGTGGCGCACTGGAGAGTGCACCACTTGGGAGTGTGGCGGCGCTCCCACCGAGGGTTCGGATCCCATGTGGAGACCGGTTCCCACTCACTGGCTGAGCGTGGTGCAGGCGCAACACCGAGGGTTGCGATCCCATTGCCGGTCCCCAGTATGGGCGCGACACCGAGGGTTGTGATCCCGTTACCGGTCAGTAAAAAAGACAAAAAGGAAAAAAAAAAAAGAAGTGTTCCCTCCTCTTGCCTTGTTTTAGAAGAGTTTCCCAGGATGGGGAGATGCACTCCTCATGGAGGGACGATCAAGTGCAATGGAAACAGGGCTTATTCTAGAACTCGAAGGAAAGATATTATGCCTGAAGCAGGGAAAGCAAGGGGGCATGAGGCGCAAGTTGAGGTTGGGGGATCTGGGTTACAGAGAAATTTTTGGATGGTGATTAACATTTCAGCAGAGGAAAGGAAAGGGGAGAGCTTTGGGCCAAGTCTCAAGGGAGTCTAATTGAAGATGGAGGATAGGAACAGGCATAGAGGTGGGAGGACAGTCTGGAGAGGGGCTTCCTGAAAAGAAAAGTGTTAGAAGACAGAGTTTCTGGAAGTTATGTAGAGGAGCGATGGAGCTGGTAGAGTTGAGGAAATGAGCTAATTAGAGGCTCTTTTGAGAAGTTTGTGGAGGGAACAGGAGACCCACTGTGGGGAGAGCAGGTGTCCAAGATTTTCTTTTCATTTTTCTTTGCTTCTTGACAGCTTTTAATCTTGATATAATTTTTTATACTTTCAAAAATTGCAAGACTAGGTACAATTCCCCAATAACATTTTTCAGGTTCATCAATTGTCTGTATTTGCACCATTTATTTTATCATTCTCTCTCTCTATATATATATGTATAAAACCATTTGAGAGTATACAAGGGTACTTCAAAAAGTTCATGGGAAGATTCATATTACCTTTTAATTCTATTTTTGGGTTTGGATTCCCCATCAGCCAGCCACAAAAGAAAGAAAGAAAGAAAGAGAGAGAGAGAGAGAGAGAGAGAGAGAGAGGAGAGAGAAAAGGAAAAATAAATAAATCTATTTTTCCACAAACTTTTTGAAGTGCCCTTGTATTGCAGACATTTCCCTTTACCACTAAATATTTTAATGGCATTTTCAAAGAACAAGTGCGTTCTGTGACACACCAATTTTTGGTTGAAAATGGGGAGATTTGGGTATGTTGAAAAGCCTAAAGGGTCCAGTGGAACAGAAGAGAGAGAAAAGATTGTCATTGCTGAAGGCATCTAGAAAGGTTCAGAGGGTGGCATCTAAAGCTGAGGTTGGGGGGCTGGGATTTGCCAAAGGGGTGTGATGAAAAGACAAAATGGGCAGGTGGGGCTGTAGTTAGCTTACTTGGTAGAACGTGGTGCTAATAACACCAGTGTTTAGGGTTTGGATCCCTGTACTGGTCAGCTGCCCCAAAAAAGGGGGGGGCAATGGAGGGGATTTTAGGGTATTAAAAAAAATATGAACCATAGACTATACTGTAAAAAGATGAAAGAAGCAAGATGGCTACTGGATAGGAAAGAGAGACAAATGGACTAAAGGTAGGCTGGGAAGATAGAGGCCTGTAATGTTTTTTAAACAGAAGAATGAAACTACATATGCACCTCTCACCATACACTAAAATCATCTCAAAATGGATCAAAGACTTAAGTGTAAAGACCTAAAACTGTAACATTGCTAAGGGAAAACATAGGTGAGACACTTCAGCAACAAGGTCTGGGCACAGACTTTATGAACAAGAGCCTGAAAGCACAAGCAGTAAAAGAAAAAATAAATGGGACTATATCAAACCAAAAAGCTGCTCTGCACAGCAAAGAAAACAATCAACAGAGTGAAACAACCACCTACAGAGTGGGAGAAAATTTTTGCTAACGATGCATCCGACAAGGGATTAATATCCAGAATATACAAAGAACTCAAGCAATTACACAGTAAAAAACCAAGTAACCCAGTTAATAACTGGACAAAGCAGCTGAATAGACATTTTTCAAAGGAAGACATACAAATGGCCAAAAGGTACATGAAAAAATGCTCGACATCACTAGTCATCAGGGAAATGCAAATTAAAACCACATTGAGATACCTCCTCACCCCAGTTAGACTGGCTATAGTCAAAAAGACGGTGAATA